GCTGGTTTCTGCGTTGGGCTGGGGAGGGCATGACCTCAGTCCCATGCTTTGCTCCAGATGTTTAAAAGGAGTGCTGCCAAGACACAGTTGGCACTAGCCTCTGAGCCTCTCCCGGGGGCTGAGTTTAGAGAATCAAAAGAAACACTCTGGAATACAAAAAGGCAGGGACTGGGAAAGGCAGCGGCATGGGGGCCTCGGCATTAAGGAGGAGAATACCTCAGCCACGCCAGCGACCTGAACAGAAAATCAGGGGACAGAATATCAGTCAGTATAAAAAGTCTTTATGTAAAAAAAACACAATAAAAGATACCAGCCAGCTAGCAGAAAGGACTGGGCACTGCCTTCAGCCTTCATTTACTCCAGAAATAAGTTCTATCGCAAATGTAGCTAGCTCCCGGTAGTAGGGGAGGCTACCCTGGGAAGAGGAGCTGGACTCGGGCCGGGACTGTGAGATCTCTCTCGCCTGCCTTCCTTCTCGAGCCTCCGTTCATAAAGCAGGTGTGGAGCGGAAGGCACTGCAGCTCTGCCACTGAGGCTGTGAGACAGGCCGGGAGGAGGCTGAGGCGAGGACAGAATTAACTCTGGGCCCACCCCCAAACTGCCCTCAAACCAAAAAGCCTGCCTTGTGATGCCCACTTGCAGTGTCTGACATATGGAGAAGGGGACCACATGAGGGCCACAGGGTCTTCAGCTTTGAAGATGAGGCAGCTGGAGACGAGGCAGGGGGGGCCGGCCTGGGATTCTCTCAGTGATGCCAGCTTTCAGCAGGGCATTGTGATCTCTAATCAGAAAGATGAAGAGGCGGGAGGGCATGGCCTTGGCTACCAGTCGTCTTGTTGTTCTATGTGGAAGGCCAGGGCTGCAGCGAGCTAGCGGACCATGGCTCCCGAGGGGCTCACTAGGTCCTGGGGAAGGCTCTCTCGGGCCTCCTGCATGCGGCGCCGGGCTCGACGGAAGGCCTCTGTGAGGGAAGCAGACACAGGAGTCAGCTGCCATGGTGGCGGGAAATGGGCCCATGTGGATGCTGGGTGGCTGGCTGGGGGAGGGGGAGCCTACCCAGCACATTGTGAATGGAACTCTGCTGGCTGAAACCCTCCAGACGGTCCAACACACTCCGCATCCTCTTCCGCAGGGAACTTGACTCCATGAAGGCCCTGCAGGGGAGCCCGCCACATGGCCACGGCTGCTCTCCAGCCCTTGGGATGAAGAGCCCCAAGGCAGAGGGCCAGGGCCACTCACCTGGACTGCTGCAGACAGTGTAGGCGGAAGGTGACACTGCCCGTGGTCTCCGTGCGGAGTCCAAAGCGGCTCAGACGCTCCCCCTGCGGCATCCAGTTAGCGTCAGGTTTCTGTTGGCTTCTAGACCCCAGGCACCATGCTGGCCTCACTCCCATTCTTATTCCCATTCTTGGGGAGAACAGTTCTGTTGGGGAAACTTCATTCCAACACCCAGACTCCATCACCTCAAGGCTAACATTGGGCTCCCAACTGTAAATCAGGGCACATTCCAACCTCCGTTGAGTACCAGCAGTCTTGTAAGCTGCCTGCCAACCCTCTGATTCTGGAAGCCTCAAGGATGGGCTGGAAGGAGGCGCTGGTATTCTGACAGGGACCAGGGGAGATCTCTAAGTGCACTGTTTTCCACAGCTCTCCTAGGACAGCGTGTGGATGTCTGTACCTAGTTTAAGATACGGTCAAGACTTCCAGCTGAAGACACAGGAAGGAAGGGACTAAGCAATAATGAAGCAATGGGCAAGAGGCCTTAACCCCGGTTCCACCTTTTCCAGAAGAAACAGGGACATAAGTTCCCAGCATGAAGTCTCCCCAGAGACAAAAGTCACCTTGAAGGTTCCTGGTATCCGCACGTAGGAAAGGTCCTCCAGCTCCAGAGAGCCGCCAATGAAAAACCTCCTCAGCTCAGCCACGGTGCCGAGCTCCAGGGGCCTCCACGTGGAGACTCTCAGGGTGTGTGCGCCTGTGCGGGAAGAGGAGAATGGGGCCGCGGCGGGGACGGGCACGTGGCCCCTTGCTGACTCCCCAGCAATGACACGGGCCTCGCCACCAGTAAAACATCTGGCCTGGTGACGACCTGGCCTCTGGTGAAGGTCATCATGGTGGTTTAGGGTCCCCATTTGGAAATCAATCAGAATTCCAGTTTCTGCTCTGCCAGCTATTACCTGTGCACCAGGACAAGTTTCTCGACCTCTCTGAACCCGTCTCCTCATCTAGCAAAATGGAAATAATAGCAACACCGACGCCTCACCAAGTGGTGGGGAGAATGAAACGAGAAGCACTTAGCACAATGCCTGGCGCACAACAGAAGGCAGGGCTGTTACTTCAGAAAGGCTTCCGATCTACTCAATACACACCCACCAGTAGCCCACTTCCCATGCAGTGCCCCCCTCAAGGCCAGGAGTCAAATCAAGAGTTGCTGGGAGCGGAGACCAGAGCTGCTCAACTTCTCAGGTAGCTGTCCCTTCACCCGGCTGTCTCTAATGGAGAAGGGGAATCTCCCCCAAAGGAGCAAGGAATTGTGCAAGTTAAGTGCTTCCAATTCCCAATCATCCCTACTTCTCACGAGAAGCGGCCAAATCTTCTGAAGTGCTAGTCTTGTTTCTGGGAGCGAGAGCACATAGGCCACATGGAGGGCAGGGACAAGAGGTCACCTGGGGTGGCAGGCAGCACCACAGCCCCGTAGCCTTCCACGCGATACCTCTGCCAGAAGTCGAGTGAGCGGACCTCACAGTAGAGCACAGGCCACTCCGGGAGGGCACCTGCATGAGTAGGAGCAGCAGCCAGGTCACAGGAGGCCTCCCCGGGAGATGGCCTGGCCTGCGGAGACCCACGGCCAGGGACCAGCCAGGCCACTCACCAGCGGATTCATCCTCGTGGAGGAAGGAGGCCTCAAATGTGAACGGGTAGGAGAAGTAAGCCGCCTTGTCCGAAAAGAGAGGAGCACTATTTCATACTCAGTGTCATGGGGTGCACAGGCCCTCACTGGGAATTTGTTTCCCCTGTGGCCAATGACAAGGTCACCCCCACAAGGGGAAAAGATAAACTATCACCCCAGGTAGGAAGCAAGAGGCTGAGAAGTGAAAGGACACCCAAATGCAAGCTGTGACCATTTTCAAAAAGGTAGAGAGGACCCTGGACGAGGCAGCCCTGCAGAGCCCACAGCGAAGGGCCAGACCCAACAGTGGAACCTTCCCCAGGCTGTCAGCCTGATGCTCGTCACATGCCATCCCAGGAGTCCTGCTCCTCCCAGGCCCCCCCCCGTTGCCATACCATTCCCAGGGACTTGGTGGCACAGGTCTGTGTGATTCCTGAGAGCTGCTGGAACGCTGGGCTCGACCAATCTGAAAGCAAAAGACCACACGTAGTAAGTTTACCTGGGAGGAGAGCAAGGAGTTGAGAAAAAGACAAAGTTCCGCTATCCATTCATTCACGCAACAAATCCTCCATTTAGCACGTACTGCGTGTCTGCAATGTGCTATG